TGGAACAGTTAATATACTGGAAGTCCTTCAACTCAAGAGGGCTGCTGGGTCCAAGGTCAAGGAAGCAGACAGCAGAGGCTTTCCCTGGGCAAGGCAGACAGAGTCCTCCTACAGGCAGCAAGCAGCAGGTTGGTTACCAGCAGTCAGCAGCTCAGGAGCTTAGCAAAGCAGGCCCATGCATGGAGAAGCAGGTCTTGAAGGCACCTCAAGCTCTAGCAACAGGATCCATGGGTTGGCTGCCCCACAGGTGATGTAGCTCACAAGTTGAGACAGAGAACTAGCTAAAGCAGTCTCTGCTGGTCCAATCACCAGAGAGCAAGAGAGAGAGGGGCAGAGCTTGTCAAGCCATTTCTCTCTTTGCCCTCCAATCAAACTGCGACTTTATTAATCCCAGATGTTCATATTGGCCAGGTTGGCACAATAAACCTACCTATCCCACAGGGTCATCCTTATGAGAAGGCCACACCCCCAAGGAAGCCCCATCTGCTGTGACATGATTGACAGGTCTGGCTCCACCCCTAGCCAGGAGTGTCAAGTTGACACAAACTCTCTAATGACCACAGGAACATTCCAGTTGTGCCTCGTCTGAGAAGCCCTGTCTGTTCTTCTGGCAGTCCACGGTTCTTTCAATCCTCTTCAGCACCACCACGGTGCACATGCATCGACTCTTCCTTATTCATTGTCCAGCTGCCTTGGGGACATGAGACAATTGAAAATACAGTAACTTAGGTCAAGTGCACCATACTGAAAAAGTGAAAAAGTTTATCAAATGACAACAATACTAATCAACCCAATCATCCCATTTACGCAGAACACAAAAGCTCCTATCTTCTTAAAATATCTTTGTATTTAACTTTCTGAACATTCTCACTAGAGAAATCATTAAGACCCCAGACACTGTTCTATCTGATAACTGGGCACCATCTAATTTCTTCACCACACTTTGCTGTAGCACCCATATGTTCTATGTTTCCTTCATAAGGGTGAGTATGGAGCAGGGCTATGTTGTAAGGACCAATTGTCGTTAGATTGGCGTTAGGATTAAGTGCGACCCAAAATCCCATTATAGAGTCTATGTTTTTTGTCTGCCTCTGGTTCACCATAAAGACAGCCTTGTTAATTTATGGTAGAGAATCATGTCCATCATCTCCCTGGAGCATAAGGACTTTATGTTTATAGTGTCATTGATTAGCTCATGGTACAAATTTTAAAACACTATTGAGAGAGTGAGATTGAACAAGTTATATATCGCAATACCTGGATTATTTACTTGTACAGAATAAATTCTTACATAACTGGGTGCTAGTTGTACAAACATCAGATAGAATAGTGTCTGGAGTCTTTAAAGACGTTTCCAAACAAGTAGCTATCTAACTAAGACATCAACAAAGCTCACATGGAAGAAGCACACCAACAATCGTGGTCCAAGGATTGTAAATTGTATCATTCGAAACGGAAAGGAGAAATAATATCAGAGCTTAAATTGTGAGATTCTGGTTTGCAGAAGGCTATGATGACAGTGGAAGCCCAAAATACATCTGTAAGATCTACACAGGGATCCACCTCCAGTGCTTCCCTCTAACCGTAACTGAGAGATGGGAATAGCCTGGTTATCAGACAAAGAGGACTGGGGAGACAACTACTGTATTGTAGATTAAAAGGATCTATCTGACTTGAACAGTTAAAACTTTGGCCCTTGATCTCCCCACTGAGATACTCTGGGCTCTATCTGGTTTTCGATATTTTCTTTCTGTGTGTGTGTGTGTGTGTTTCCATCTTGGGGTTGATCTCTGTTGTAGTCTGTCATTGTTGGTAGCCTTCCTGACTCTCTGTTACATGTGTTTCTATGTTGTTCGGTACATGAAAGCCAGGACAGGGGGATCTACAGCAACAATAACTGGAATATGGGTTTTGGGGAAGGGGAAGAGGGTGCGGAGTAAGGGGGAGCTGTTATCAAGGAGTTCAAGAAGGAAGAAAATGTTTTGAAACTGATTTTGATGGCAATTATACAACACTGCTTGATATGAATGAACTATGGAATGGTCTGACGTCTGGATGAGCCGCTAATAACACAGTGTGGGGAAAGGGAAAAAAGGGATCTTTAGACGGACACACGCTCTGTTTGCATTTTCTTTGGAAAGGGGCCCCGTGCTTGGGATAGCAGCTTGGATTGGCTCTGAGGACCCAGCTAGATCCCAGCTCTGTGTGCTGGCATCGCATTCCAAAGTGAGGTGTGCTCTTGATGTGAT